GCTGTTAGCATTAGCTGTGGATCAGCTGTTAGCATTAGCTGTGGATCGGCTGTTAGCATTAGCTGTGGATCTAAACCGCCTCGTCAAAATAAACTTACCAAGACATTAGCCGTGTTCAGGCCAGGAAGTTTACTAAACGGCTTCAGCATCGACATGCTCGCAGATGTGCACCTTTAAACCGTCTCAGCTTTGTAAAGTTAAGTAAACTCATAGACATAGCAGTAAACCAGCTCCGTGAGGAGCGTCTTCATCTGGCGCTTCTTTTTCGAACGTCCCTCTGACGTAATCACGCACAGGTTACGTCCATCCTCTGCCACCTAGAGGTAACAGAGGGTACTACAAGTCACCCTTTTTTCAGGATGTAAAGCAGCATCACAAAGTAACAGCTGAGTGTAACATGTATTTAATAATTAGCTGGTAGGGGAGGATTCCTGCAGCCTCAGCCATAAACCTACAAACTTAACTTCTTGTCTGATCCAGATGTATTTTTATGAGAAAATATCTACTAAAAAAGTCTTCACTATTAGTTTATACTGTGATTAAATTTGTAGTTTTACTAAAACTACAGAACTTGTGTGTTCTGTATTTTTTTTATACTGAGAGCAGCACTTTTTATTTGTGTAAGCAGCTAAATGACCTTTATTTTTTTACTAAGTTCATACGGTAATGGTCACGTTTGGTACCACTTCCTTAAGAATAGGCTTAAAGGCTCCTCGGATAAAAACAACAAAACAGTTTGTCGTGATGCATCACAAGTTTAAAACTCAGTTCATACAATAACGCACATCTGGCAAGATCCAAGTTCATTTCTTCCTAATTCCAGATTTTAAATGTGCAACGTGTCGGCAAATTTCCTGCATGTGAGCACTCGAGCGTTTTGATACAAAGTTTGTTTCGATAATTAATAAAGACTTCAAGATACTTAAATATAAACGTGTGAATAATGGCATTTACTTGAACGAATAAAAGTACGAGTGAGTTCACTTCAAAGCTTTTGGTTTTAGGGCTTTTTAAACACTTCACATCTTATTTGTAATAAATCATCAGTTTTTCATACATGCACATCTGTGACAGTGTGGGGTCACTAAAATGTTTCTCTTGTGCTGTAAAATAAATCTGCACCAGACTTGTTGAAACAGAAGCTAAATGTTTTATTGACAATGAGGCGGCCCTGCAAAGTAGACCTCTCTGCACCCCCCCCCCCCCCCAACCCACAGGAAGTTCAACCGGGGTCACAGTAGCGACACGCATGTCATTAGTCCGAAAGCGGGGAGAAGTATCCAGATGTCTCCCTTCAGAGGATGGATCTTGTTCTCAACAGCCTAACGAGCTGCAGGCAGCAGAACGTGTTCCGACATCCAACTGATAATAAAAAATAAAAACACGTCACGTAACAAAAAATAAACTGAATGAAACTTCGGGCTGCAGTCCGTTAACTCGTCCAGGTCACGGTGAACAACGGCAGGTCAGGTTGATGGCATGACTTTGAAAATGAGAGTGCACAGCTCTCCGTGGGTCTCGTGCGTTTCCCTCGACTGCCACCGTCCGTATGAACGCCCGGACCTGAACGAGCGTCAGGCCGACAAACAAACTGCACCAGCACTCTGTCCAGGTCTCATGCTCCTTTTTACTCGACGCATTCAAACCGGACTCGTGCTCAGATCTCCCCAGACTCTCGCTCCTCGGAGCTGGAACGTCTGTCTCGCTCGTACGACAGGGACCTCTCTCGCTCCCTGCTGCCGGTCACGTCCGGAGAAACGGAGCGCTCCTTGTCCTCCCAGTCGCCGCACTCCGCCTTGTTGTCTCGCCACCCCTCTCCTGCACGCTCCTTCAACCCCTCCTGGGACGGCGAGCGCTCTTTGTCGTGAGCGTGGGACGACCCGTCTCTGGGGGATCTGAAGAAGAAACGAGTCACAAATGAAACGTGATGTTGGAAAGCCGCCAGGCACCGAGAGTTCAGGTCTAGTTTGCTGTGGTTCTACAGAGCTGCTGCTGGTGGGATCAAAGATCCAGTAACTCCGAACTGGTCCACAAACTGCATCAGAGCGACCGAGGGGCGCTCACCACACCTTTAGATCATTCCTCCCTTTAACATCACCGTCACGAGCTACGTAGAACTAGATGAAACTAGATGCTGCGTCCTTGTGTGAATTGTTCAATAAATAATTTATGGAGTTCATTTAAACCGTTGACATTTTACTCTGATTTTTTTTATTATGAAATTATTTACACAACTAATAAAGTTTTGCTCTCAAAAACACCCTTTTCAGTCAAAACAGTTCCAGCTGCTTGATGACACTTCAAACCAGTTGAACCAGTATGAACTGCCCCATGTGCTGCACAAAGCTGAAATCAGGTTCAACTCTCTGTTTCACAAAAACTTAAAACAAGAAATATTTATTCCATCTGCAGCAAAGTACGCAAATACAACAAGCTGATACGGCAACGAGTTTTAAACACGTTACACCAGTGTACATCATGTAATGATTCTTAAGATAGATCTGCTAAAAACAGACTCCGCTGTACTGTTTATAATTAGTTCAGCCGTCAAACACTTCCTGTTGAGGTTTCCTCTACTTTTCTAACAGCGCACGAGGAGCTTAAAGTGGTTTATCCTTGGAGACAAGAAATTTGTTCTTTTATGTAGCTGCGGGACGAAAAAGAGTTCTTCTTGTTTTTGCACTTTCCAAGAACTGCAGAAGCTCCTGGCAGAACTTTCTTCTTGCAAAGGAGACCAGGAAGTTTTTGACTGGTCAGAGCTCGATGCGTTTCAGCAGAAAAGCAGCTGCTGCTCAGGAGCAGCTGTGCGTGGGAGAGACCGCACGGTGGCGGCTCTCCGTGGCATCCCGACGGCAACAGAGCTCCTTAGTCGGGCAGCGGAGGGACGCGCTCCCAGTCTGTTGGGTGGAGGTCTACTCGTGAGAAATCTGGAACTTTTCTCCTGTTTACAGAAAAAACACGTCTTCCTGATCTTTTGTTGTCGTCCAACATGTTGTGTCTTTCTCCTCCAGCACAAACTGAAAACTAACGTGCACCAATGGTGCTGGTGGTGTTGGTGCGCTGCAGCCAGGAGCTCTGTCCTACAGACTCTCAGAGCAGAAACCGTTCGTGTCTCACCACGTGTGTCGCAGCACTATCAGACTCACGGCGTACACGAGCCAGGCAGCCGGTTCCAAACGTCGACACCAGGACTTCAAGGCTGCAGACATTTCTCTGGACCTCTCCTCAGATCTGTGCGCCGACGTCAGAGGTCGACACACACGTCACCGTTTGTGCCTCAACTCCAAGAGCTTCTGTTCAAGGACTGTGCCTTTCCTCATCATGTCCACCGACTTGGTTTACCCCACATGATCAATGGAACCAGGTGATCAATGGAACCAGGTGATCAATGGAACCAGGTGATCAATGGAACCAAGTGATCAATGGAACCAGGTGATCAATGGAACCAAGTGATCAATGGAACCAGGTGATCAATGGAACCAGGTGATCAATGGAACCAGGTGATCAATGGAA